AAAAAAAAGTAAAGGCCAGGCATGGTGGTTCATGCCTGTAATCCCAGCACTTTGGGAGGCCAGGGTGGGTGGATGATCTGAGGTCAGGAAGAATCACCTGAAGCCTACTAAGAATACAAGAAAATTAGCCAAGTATGGCAGCACATGCCTGTAGTCCCAGCCACTTGAGAGGCTGAGGCAGGAGAATCACTTGAACCTGGGAGGCAGAGTTTACAGTGAGCTGAGATCATGCCATTGCCCTCTAGCCTAGGCGACAGAGCAAGACTCCATCTTAAAAAGAAAAGAGTAATGATATTGGACATTCATTAAGCACTTCTCCATGCCAAGCACCATGCCAAATGCTCTATTCACACAGTAGAGGTGAATAAATGCGTAGAGAAGTCACTCAGGGCTGGGCATGGTGGCTCACACCTATAATCCTAACAATTTGGGAGGCCAAGGCGGGAGGATTGCTAGAGGCTGGGAGTTCAAGACCAGCCTGGGCAATGTAGCAAGCTCCCCATCTCTAAATAAATAAAATATAAAAGGAGAACTCAGGGTTATATGGCCAATAAGGGGTAGAAAAGGGATTCAGGGCCCAAACTGCTAACCGATTCTGCTTTGTCCACTTCTGTAATGGTTGCTTAGCTGCTGTTGTATCATCACTTGGCTGCCCATTTATTTTAGATAGATCTAATTATTAGGAGATTCATGTTGAACTAAAATCTATTACCAGGAACAAGTGAGCCTTAGATTTGCTTGAAATGCCTCACCAACATGGTTGGCTTCCTCTAGTCGTGTTACAATTTACTCATGTCCCAATGTGAAGGTGGCACTTTGAACTGGGTAGAATATTCTGTCCATGGTCATACCAGCAATGCTTGACTGTTACTTTCTAGACATCACAGAATCAGCTCTTGTAGCTATAACACACTTCTAACTCACATAGAGCAAATAGGTCAGTTTTTTTTTTTAACACTTGCAACTACTATTAAAATTCATCTTTTTTGGCTGGGCGCAGTGGCTCATACCTATAATCCCAGCATTTTGGGAGGCCAAGGTGGGTGGATCACCTGAGGTTGGGAGTTTGAGACCAGCCTGACCAACGTGGAGATACCCCATCTCTACTAAAAATACAAAAATTAGCCGGGCATGGTGGCACATGCCTGTGATCCCAGCTACGCAGGAGGCTGAGGCAGGAGAATCTCTTAAACCTGGAGCAGGGGTTGTGGTGAGCTAAGATTGCACCATTGCACTCCAGCCTGGGCAACAAGTATGAAATTCTGTCTCAAAAAAAAAAACAAATAAAATAAAATTCATCCTTTTTATGTTTTCACAGTTGGCTTTGGCTTTTTGCAGTCAAATGCTGTGCCACTGAGCCATACCCCTGGCTTTGGCTTTTTGAAACAGAGAGTTAAACGACTATCCTATAATTGGGACATTACACATTGCTGGGTTTTGTAAAGAAGAACAAAGGAAGACCTCTCTTTTTCTTTTTATTATTATTATTTCTTTTGCAACAGGGTCTTGCTCCATTGCCCAGGCTGGAGTGCGGTGGCGTGATCAGGGCTCACGGCAGCCTCGCCCTCCTGGGCTCAAGTGATCCTCTTACTTCAGTCTCCTAAGTAGCTGGGACCATAAGAATGAACTACCACACTCAACTAATTTTTGCATTTTTTGTAGATAAGAGGTTTCATCATGTTTCCCAGGCTTGTCTCAAATTCTTGGGCTCAAGTGATCAGCCTACCTCGGCCTTGCAAATGATGGGATAAAATTCCCATTACATAAATAAGCAACTACAAATTTACAGGCATTTTAAAGGAAAAGTACAGTGTATGCTAATGTGATGATGATGCTAGCTGTAATGTATGGCCCACTTTCTGTGTGCTAAGCACATTTAAAGTGATTCACACGACATATCCATCCTCAATACAACCTGAAGAGAATGACACTGTTGCTATCCCCATTTTAATAGATGAAGAAACTGAGGCACAGAGATGTTTAGAAATTTTTTTTTTTTTTTGAGACAGAGTCTTACTCTGTCGCCCAGGCTGGAGTGCAGTGGCACGATCTCGGCTCACTGCAACCTCCGCCTTCCAGGTTCAAGTGATCCTCTTACCTCAGCCTCCTGAGTAGCTGGGATTACAGGCATGTGCCACCATGCCTGGCTAATGTTTGTATTTTTAGTGGAGACAGGGTTTCACCATGTTGTTCAGGCTGGTCTAGAACTCCTGACCTCGTGATCCACCCGCCTCAGCCTCCCAAAGTGCTGGGATTACAGGCATGAGCCACCATGCCTGGTGCAATGTTTAGAAATTGAGTGCTAGTAGTGGTAGATTAAAGATTTTCACCCAGGCAGCCCAACTTCAGAGCCCTTCACCTCTATCCTGAATACCTAATAGAGGGTCCTGAACTAGTCTGAGAGTTTGGGAAAGATTTTGGTTCCTGGATGACCTCTAAGACAAGCAGCACCCCTATCCTAATGCTCTTATATAATACAGGGAGACATCCTCACTGGGCCAGGCCTGATCTTTCAGGGGCTAACTCTGTAACTCTGAGTGGAGGAAAGTAGGTAGCAGACAGCCAGAGCTGGCCACCTCAGTTAGTTGTTACAACTGTCAACCACGATGTGGCTGCTTTAAAGATAATAGATGGGGAGCTGTGTCTTGTTGGCGTGCCCCTGTGGTCTCAGCTACTCAGGAGGCTGAGGCAGGAGGATCACTTGAGCGTAAGAGTTCAAGTCCAGTCTGGCCAACATAGTGAGACCCCATCTCTGAAAATAAAAATACCAGGCCAGGCATAGTGGCTCATGCCTGTAATTCTAGCACTTTGGGAGGCTGAGGTGGATGGGTCATGAGGTCATAAGTTCAAGACCAGTCTGGCCAACATAGTGAAACGCTGTCTCTACTAAAAATACAAAAAATTAGCCCAGTGTGGTGATATGCACCTGTTATCCCAGCAACTCAGGAGGCTGAGGCAGGAGAATCACATGAACCCAGGAAGTGAAGGTTGCAGTGGGCCGAGATCATGCCACTGCACTCCAGCCCAGGCGAGTATGAGACTCATTTCAAAAAAATAAAAATAAAAATAAAAGATAACAGATATGGAGCTATGTGTGGTGGCCCGTGTGGTCTCAGCTACTCAGGAAGCTGAGGCAGGAGGATCACTTGAGCCCAGGAGTTCAAGTCCAGCCTGGCCAACATAGTGAGACCCCATCTCTAAAAATAAAATGCTAGTTCAGGCATGGTGGCTCATGCCTGTAATCCCAGGTACTTTGGGAGGCTGAGGCAGGTGGATCACTTGAGGTCAGGAGTTCATTACCAGCCTGGCCAACATGGTGAAACCCCATTTCTACTAAAAACATAAAAATTAGCCGGGCATAGTGAGGGGCACCTGTAGTCCCAATTACTCAGGAGCAGAGGTTGCAATAAGTGGAGATCACACCACTGGGTGACAGAGCAAGACTCTGTCCCCATAAATAAATAAATAAATAAATAAATAAACAAACAAGGCTGGACATGGTGGCTCACACCTATAATCCCTGCATATTGGGAGGCTGAGACAGACAGATCACCAGGTCAGGAGATCGAGACCAGCCTGGCCAACATGGTGAAACCCTATCTCTACTAAAAATACAAAAATTAACTGGGTGTGGTGGTGCGTGCCTGTAGTCCCTGTAATCCTCTCAGGAGGCTAAGGCAGGAGAATCGCTTGAACCCAGGAGTGGGAGGTTTCAGTGAGCTCAGATTGTGCCAGTGCATTCCAGCCTGGACAACAAGAGCAAAACTCCATCTTAAAAAAAAAAGAAAAAGAAAAGAAAAAAAGAAAGGGTGTGTAGGAGACAAAACTTCTAAGTTTGTATGGTTTAGAAAAGCCATTATTCAGCTTGCAGGAGGTAGAATTGTGTTCAAAAAAGAAAGAAAAAATACATTAAAACCGAGATATCTGTGGCATATATAAGGGACAATTGCAGTTTGGAAGGTATTTTCACATACATCATTTGATTTTTTTAAATTAATCTCATTTGCTTATCATAAAAATTGATAAGATAGATAAAGCAGAGATTATTAGCCTCACTTTACAGATGAAGAAACAGGCTTAGAGAAGTATCCAAGGTAACCCAGTTAGCTAGTAGTATAGAGACTTATTACTCCAATCCAATTCTCCTACCTCCCCTCCTCACCCATTTGGTTCTAATGGTGTTTCTTTCGTATGGCCAGGAGAAGGAGCGTTCCTGGCACCAGCAGGAGCAGGCAAAGGCCCTGGAGAGCTTCGAGAGGGAAAAAATGGAGCTGGAAATGAGGCTGAAGGAGCAGCAGACAGAAATGGAGGCCATCCGGGCCCAGAGGGAAGAAGAACGGACACAGGCAGAGAGTGCCCTATGCCAGGTGGGAGCTGCCCATCCAATCAGCGATCTCCTTACCTTTGACCACTTCCTTTTCCACTCTCAAGAATAGTCCTGCAGGGGAGCTTCCAGAAGAGATCGTAGCTACCCACTTTGCTACCAGTGAGCAGGGTGGTCTTCCCCATTAGCTGCAGTTCCGGCAGTATGTCACATTTCCTGAGGGAGGGCTGACATATACCACATCCTGTCAGCTTGTAAACCAATGGTAATCTTTGCACTTCCTTGTTCTGAACCCATGGGCTCAGACCTTCCTTTGCCCTCAGCCCCCACTCATTTGGTAGAAGAGCCCTAGAGCAACTGAGATGTGCTTGTGGCCTTGTTGGTAAGTATGATAACCCTGAGCCCACAAGTCCTTACCTCTCTACCCCTCCACAGATGCAGCTGGAAACAGAGAAGGAGAGAATGTCCCTTCTGGAGACACTGCTGCAGACCCAGAAGGAGCTGGCAGATGCCAGCCAACAACTGGAACGGCTGAGGCAGGACATGAAGGTCCAGAAGTTAAAGGAGCAGGTATGGAGGGTGGTCTTGGGACGGGGGGAGAAAGGGGCACTCATTTACCATTCAACCATGAAGAGTTCTTGGACACTTCTTATGTGCCAGGCCCTGTGCTAGGTGCTGACACATGACAAGTACAAAAGGTATGGCACAGGCTAGGTGCAGTAGGTCACACCTGTAATCCCAGCACTTTGAGAGGCTAAGGCGGGTGGATCACCTAAGATCAAGAGTTCAAGACCAGCCTGGTGAAACTAGAGATGGTGAAACCCCATCTCTACTAAAAATACAAAAATTAACTGGGTATGGTGGCGGGTGCCTGTAATCCCAGCACTTAGGGAGGTCCAGGTGGGCAGATTGCCTGAGGTCGGGAGTTCAAGACCAGCCTGACCAACATGAAGAAATCCTGTCTCTACTAAAAATACAAAAAAAATTAGCTGGATATGGTGGTGCATGCCTGTAATCCCAGCTACTTGGGAGGCTGAGGCAGAAGAATCTCTTGAACCCAGTAGGCAGAGGTTGCAGTGAGCCAAGATCACACCATTGCACTCCATCCTGGGCAACAAGAGCAAAACTCTGACTCAAAAAAAAAAAAGATGTGGCATAGCAGTCAGCATGACACACATTGCCCCTGCCCTCAAGGGACTTACATTCCTGTCGCAGAGTTGGATGACAAATGAGCAGACACAAAGTAAATGAGATTATTAGAGTTTGTAATAAGTGCTATAAAGGAAATAGTGTGATACACTGAGAAAAGGAGCTCACTTTGAACTTAGTGTCAGGGAAGGCCTCACTGAGAAAGTAACATTTGAGCTGAAACTTGAAGGTTAAAAAAGAAAGCAGCTCCGTGATACAACATAGGTGAACCTTGAAAACATCTGGCTAAGTGGAAGAGCCAGTCACAAGAAGCCGTATATTATATGTAATTTGATTCCATTTATATGAAACACCAAGAATAGGCAATGCTGTAGAGGCAGAAAGCAGATTTATGGTGGGGAGTGGGGCGGAGAATGGGGAGTGACTGAATGGGTACGGGGTTTATTTTGGGATTGACGGAAATGTTCTAAAATTGAATGCAACAATAGTTGCACAATTTTGTGAATATCCTAAAACCCGCTACTTTGTATACTTTAGATGAGTGAATTTTATGGTGTACGAGTTATATCTCAAAGCCATTTAAAAAAAAAAAAAATGCCTTCCATTTGAAGAACACTTTAGGCAGAGGAAACAACTGTTGCAAGGGCCCTGACACAGAAAAGGGCTTGGGAAGTTCAAGAACAAAAAAGAGGCAGTGTGGCTCCAGCTTGATAAACTCAGGGGAAGTGGAGCAGTAGCCAGAAGCCCTTTGTCAGCCATTGCAGGAGCTTGGATTTTGTTCTAAGGGCAATGGGAAACTGTTGGGTGGTATGTATGGTGTGTATGTGTGTATGTATTTGAAGCTGAGTCTCGCTCTATCACCCAGGCTGGAGTGCATCTGCGCCGTTTCAGCTCACTGCAACCTCCACGTTCCAGGTTCAAGCAGTTCTTGTGCCTCAGCCTCCCAATTAGCTGGGATTACAGGTGCCTGCCACCATGCCTGGCTAATTTTTGTATTTTTAGTAGGAAAGGGTTTCACTATGTTGGCCAGGCTGATCATGAACTCCTGACCTCAAATGATCCACCCACTTCGATCTCCCCAAGTTCTGGGATTACAGGTGTGAGCCACTGTGCCTGGCCAGTTGGGTGGTATTTTAAAACTAGGAGTAGGATATGATTTATTTTTATATACATACACACATGCATATACATATATGTATTTTTAAATACTTTAGCTGCTGAGTAGAGAATAGTGTGTGTGTGTTTAGGGGATCATGGCATCAAGTGTAAGTAGGGATACGGTTAAGAGACTGTTGCTGTGGTCTGGGTGAGAGACTATTACCAACCCATGGACCCTGACCAAGAAATCTGGGTGACCCAGTACACTTTGTGAGGGAGAAGGGGGACTAGGAAGTGAGAAGGTGGGGTGGAAACAATGTGAATTGCTGGCTCCTGCCTCAGCTTTTGCCACTCCACCAAAAAAAAAAAAGTATTTATACAACACAGTTCCTCTATTCACTGATGTCTTATCCCTGTGCAGGAGACCACTGGCATGTTACAGACCCAGCTCCAGGAGGTTCAGCGGGAGCTGAAGGAGGCAGCCCAGCAGCACAGAGATGATCTTGCTGCCCTCCAAGAAGAGAGCAGCTCCCTGCTGCAGGATAAAATGGACCTGCAGAAACAGGTCTCCTCCACCTCCCCACCCAGTCCCGTGGTCCTTCCCCAACACAGCCAGGCTTTCCCACTTCCTCCTGAAGGACAGGGAGAACCTTGGCCCTGCTGCCTGATTTGGGAGGTAGATGGGTGGGCCATGGTATTGACTGGAAAATCAGAGCGTCCTCAGAGTTGAGCATGTGCCTCTCAGAGGCCTGGAATAGTAATCTCTGTCTCTGTAATGGCCGCAGAGCTTCTGTTTTCCCCAGCAGTCTCAAGTTTCAGTTGTTCTTTCTGACTTTGCTATAAATCTAATTTTTTTTTTTTTTTTGAGACGGAGTTTCACTCATGTTACCCAGGCTGGAGTGCAATGGCACAATCTCGGCTCACCGCAACCTCCGCCTCCTGGGTTCAGGCAATTCTCCTGCCTCAGCCTCCTGAGTAGCTGGGATTACAGGCATGCACCACCATGCCCAGCTAATTTTTTTGTATTTTTAGTAGAGACAGGGTTTCACCATGTTGACCAGGATGGTCTCGATCTCTTGACCTCGTGATCCACCCGCCTCGGCCTCCCAAAGTGCTGGGATTACAGGCTTGAGCCACCGCGCCTGGCCTAAATCTGATATTTTTACATACTAGGTTGCAAAATGATGTTCTTTTCATTTTTAAAAAAGCAATCATAATACATTTTTTGCCTTTGAGCATAGTTATAGTCAGCCTTTTTGTTTTTGTTTTTGTTTTTTTTTTTTGGTGGGAGAGACAGGGTCTGACTATGTCACCCAGGCTGAAGTGCTACAGATCACAGCTTACTGCGGTCTCGACTTCCCAAGCTCAAGCGATTCTGCCACTTCAGCCGCCTGAGTAGCTGTGACTACAGACATGTGCCGTCACACCTGGCTAACTTTTTAATTTTTATAGAGACAGGGTCTCACTCTGTTGCCCAGGCTGATCTCAAGCAGTCTGCCTGCCTTGGCCTCCCAAAGTGTTGAGATTACAGGCATGAGCTACTGCACCCAGTCCAGTCAAAAAAATTTTTTTTTAATTTTTTTTATTTTAAGACTGAGTTTTACTCTGTCACCCAGGCTGGAGTGCAGTGGTGCGATCTTGGCTCACTGCAAACTCCGCCTCCCAGGTTCAAGCAATTCTCCTGCCTCACCCTCCCAAGTAGCTGGGATTACAGGTGCGCACCACCATACCCGGCTAATTTTTTGTATTTTTAGTAGACATGGGGTTTCACCATGCTGGCCAGGCTGGTCTCTAACTCCTGACCTCGTGATCCTCCCACTTCAGCCTCCCCAAGTGCTAGGATTACAGGTGGGAGCCACCATGTCCAGCCTCCAGCCAAGATTTTTATTTGTGCTTGCCTCTATGCAGCATATGTGAGGCTGGGAGGCCCAGGCCAAACTGTATTGAGGAAGCGGGTGGTTAAGAACAGTGTGTGGGGATTGGTGGAACCACCAGAGCATTGGAAATGGCCGCTGACTATGGTAAACCTTGAAGGACCCTGAAGCCGTAGGTGAGGAGCATTTTCTCACTGGCCCCCTGCCCTGCCATCTTGGTCTTCATGCCCTTAAATTTCCAGGTGGAGGACTTAAAGTCTCAGCTGGTGGTCCAGGATGACTCCCAGAGGCTGGTGAAGCAGGACGTTCAGGAGAAGCTCAGAGAGACCCAGGAGTATAACCGAATTCAGAAGGAGCTGGAGAGAGAGAAAGCCAGGTAGGCTAGGTAGGCCATGGAGGTGGCTTTTGCCTATCTGGCTGTATGGTCACTATGATATTGACAGTTGTTTGCTCAGGCCATCTTGCCTTTCATGTCTGCAGCTCTGAGATGTACATGTAGCCATGTGGAGAGGGCATGATTCCTGTCTTCAAAGCTTACACTTCATTCATTTAGTAAATATTTCAAAAACACCCATCATGCACCAGGCACCATGCTTGGTGATACAGTGATAAAGAAGACTGTATGGTCCCTGCCCGAATAGAATTTGCAGTTTTCTGGAGAAGACATTAATCAAATAATAACTCAAATTATTACAGATTATGACACATGGAGGAAACAGGGTGAGAGAGAAGAGACCTACTTTAGAACCGTTGTTAAGGAAGGCTTTTCTCAGGAGGGTGCATTTAAACTGTTGCAGTAAAACCCCAGCCAAAGAAGACAAAGAGACCAATGGAGACCAAAGAGAACTTTAATTCAGGCACCTGGGCTGGCAGCACCCTCACGCCTTAAATGGCCGCCGACCACCGCAAAGAAGGCAGTTTTGCTTATATGCAGTTTGAGGCTGGAAAACAAGACAGGATGCAGGTTTTAGACAAAGACAGTAAATTATTTAACTTGTGACAATTTTGAGAGAACTTACAATTTAGTTATTTTGACCAGTGAACCTTGCTGTTAGGAATTACAGAGGTATGTGGGGTGGTCGGGGTTGGGGGGGGGCTGTGTCTGGAGGCAGGTGATAAGCTTGGAAGGTTGAGATAACCTTGCAGCTGCAACTTGTTAGCTATGCTGGGAGAAGCTGTTTAAATTCCTTAGCCTATGTATAACTTCTAAATGACCTTAATGTTAACTATTACCTATGTTATGCTTATTAAACTTTATTATTACTTATTTTATTTTTCTTCAACAAAACAACACTAAGCATGAAGTGGAGCTACCCATGTAAAAGGGTGAGGGGGAGTTCCATTCTGAAAGAGTAGAAATCATGTGCAAAGGCCATGAGGCAGGTAAAAGCTTACAGTGTTTGGTGGAACTGAAAGTGTGGTGTGATTGGAGCCTGATGAATGAGGAGAGTGGCATAAGCTGGGCAGGTCCACAGCACTCAGGATTTGGTAGGTCACAGCAAGGAGTTCATAGTTTGAGTTTCATAGGAAACCTCTGGAGAATTTTAAGCAGGGAAATTGATGTAATACAACTTATGATTATTTGAAGGGTGCAATGACATGAGATATCGGGTATGACAGAAGACCATTCAGAGTGAAAAGTAGCTTGTATTCTTAGTGCTGCAGGAGTCTGCGAAGGGGATGGGCTGGGCGCAGTGTAATCCCAGCACTTTTGGGAGGCCAAGACAGGCAGATCACTTGAGATCAGGAGTTCGAGACCAGCCTGGCTAACATGGTGAAACCCCGTCTCTACTAAAAATACAAAAAAAATTGCTGGGTATGGTGGTGGGTGCCTGTAATGCCAGCTACTTGGGAGGCTGAGGCAGAAGAATCACTTGAACCAGGAGGCAGAGGTTGCAGTGAGCTGAGATCACACCACTGCACTCCAGCCTTGGTGACAGAGTGAGACTTCATCTCAAAAAAAAAAAAAAATAGGAGTTTCAGAAGGGAAATATCATTTTGGTAATAAAACTAGAGGCAGGAAGACAAGTTAAGCTGGTAAGAGTTGTCCTGATTTGAGATCCTAAAGCTAAACCAAAGTAGGGTAGTGGGGAAGAGAAGGAGAGAAGAGAAGAGGTTTAAAGGATGTTAAGGGAATTAGATTCAATTGTATATAATCATAAATTGGATATACAGCTAGTGCTCGACTTACGACCACTATTGGTTCTGACAGACTAGTTGTAACACAATTTGGTCGTAAGTTGAGTAGGCTATATGTACAGTACTGTGAAATGATAACTTCGTATCACGTGCAATCACATTCACTTTCTTTCCTCCTTCGTACTGCTTAATTACCTTCATTTTCGTGTCGAGATCGATGGCCTTTCTTTCCTTCTTGGCAGGCTGAGGCGTAGACAAAGACAATTTCCTCTTGGTAGACATCTTGGGAGGGGTTTGATGAAAAATATCCAAGACACAAAACACAAATTGCTTTACCAAGTCTGGGATAACAGTTGAAATGGTGCACGCGGAGATGGTAGTGCTGCCAGAAGCTGGTCCGCACTGTCGTATGCCCAGCTGGGCAACGTTTGCGCTGCCAGATGCGGAGCAGTCGTGGCTAGCGATTGTGGTCGTAAAGTCGAATGGTCGTAAGTTGCATAGGTCGTAAGTCGATCAATACCTGTAGGTAGGATGAAGGGGGAACTCTGGAGTGGTCAAGGTTCTACATTGGGACCTATGTAGATGGAAGTGCCATTCACTGAGCTAGGGAACATAGTAGGAGATTATCGGGTGGGCAGGGGAAGAGAAGAAGGGGCAGGGGAGGAGAGGAGAGGGCAGGGGAGGAGAGGAGAGGGACTGGGAAGATTTGAACATATTGATTGAATGTGAGGTACTAATATAAGGTATATGTGAAATTTGCCAGAGAAGAATAAACTGTGAGGTTGATAGCCAGGCATGGTGGTATGTGCCTGCAATCCCAGCTACTACAGCTAGTGCTCGACTTACGACCACGGTCGGGACCGCAGACTGGTCGTAACACGATTTGGTCATATGTTGAGTAGGCTATATGTACAGTTGAAATGGTGCATGCAGAGATGGTAGTGCTGCCGGAAGCTGGTCCACATTGTCGTACGCCCAGCTGGGCAACGTTTGCGCTGCCAGACGCGGAGCAGTCGTGGCTAGCGATTATGGTTGTAAAGTCGAATGGTCGTAAGTTGCATAGGTGGTAAGTCGATCAATACCTGTAAGGAGTGCGTGCCACTGCACCCCAGCCTTGGTAACAGAGCAAAACTCTTTTTAAAAAAAAAAAAAAAAAAAAACCCATGAGGTTGAAATGGGAAGTACCTAGGAGCACTTATTAAAGTAATAAATGATAGCTTTTATTGTTATATCATAATTATTACTATTTCTATTTTGATTTTTAATGCTATGTTAAGAATACTCAGATGGGAAGTAGTTTTTCATTCCCTAAGAGAGTGGCCCAACACTCTGACCCCTCTCTTTTTAGCCTGACTCTGTCGCTGATGGAAAAGGAACAGAGACTCCTTGTTTTACAAGAAGCTGACTCTATTCGACAACAGGAGCTGAGCGCTCTGCGCCAGGACATGCAGGAGGCCCAGGGAGGACAGAGAGAGCTCAATGCCCAGGTACTTCCTACTCTGGTTATAACCCCTGCATCCCTGGCAGAAGCCTGATCCTGGACCAGTGGATTGATTGCTCTGAGTCCTCTCATGGAGAGGGCCCATCTATTTTTCCTAATTATAGGATAGGCAGGTGCCTCAACAGCCCTGCAGGAGGGGGAAGCCAGGACTAGACAAGGGGGAAGCCAGGACTAGACAAGCTCTGGGGGGCTTGGGAACCTGACCCAGAGGTGGGCATGGCTCCTGTGGGAAACCTGACAGCCCTGAGCAAAGTGCACACAGGGGTGGAACCCACGCAGGCCTGGTTCCAGCACAGCCACTTTCAAGTGTGCTGGATCTGGTTGGCAAGATGCAGCAGGGGGAATGAGCAACCAGTAACACTCCAGATCAGGCAGGCAGGCAGCAGCAAGACTTCCAGGGACTCAATCTGCCCACATCAGGACCCGAGACCTTGTGCACAGAGGAGAGATGGAACTAGGAGGGGAGGAATGGGATGTAAGAGTTAGATGGTGGATTGCAGGGGTTAAGGGCACACAGGTTTGGCTGTTCAACAGTCTTAAGTTTGAATGCAAGCTGTACTGCTTTCTAGTTAATGTGAACGTCAGCTTCTTCATCCATAAAACAAGGGTGATAATTCTTGTTCCTAATTCCTGTAACCATTATAGAAATATAAAAATGTCAGGAACACAATAAGCATTCAATACATGGTAGCTATGTTATTGTGACTGCTCTTACTAGGTGCAGCATCAGGGTTTCAGGCCAGAGTTCTGATCATAGCAGGGAGCCAGCATATCAGCCCAAGAAGCCAGGGCTGAAGCCCATTAGCATAGCAGCCTGGGCCCATGTGTTCAGTAGTCGGCAGGTGTTAGATCTGTAAGGTAACACTCATTTCAGAGTCCCTCTACCTGCCTGAGAGCTGAGCTGAAATCCTCCCAGCCCTGATCAGAGTTTGTACAGGGATTGAGTGGGGTCTCACCTGGGAGAACCTGAGTAGAGGGTATCCACTTCCTGCTTAGAGTATGTACAATTCTTCCTTGGCAGATGGAATTACTGAGGCAAGAGGTGAAGGAAAAGGAGGCTGACTTTCTGGCCCAGGAAGCACAGCTGCTGGAGGAGCTGGAGGCGTCTCGTATCACGGAGCAGCAGCTACGAGCTTCCCTGTGGGCCCAGGAAGCCAAGGCAGCCCAACTACAGCTGCGACTGCGCAGCACAGAAAGCCAGCTGGAGGCACTGGCCGCAGAGCAGCAGCCTGGGAACCAGGCCCAGGCCCAGCTGGCCAGCCTCTACTCTGTCCTGCAGCAGGCCCTGGGGTCTGTTTGTGAGAGCAGGCCTGAGCTGAGTGGTGGGGGAGACTCTGCTCCCTCCCTCTGGGGCCTTGAGCCAGGTGAGACAGCCACCCCAGAACTAGGTCCTTTGGGCCAAAGCCAGGCCATTCCCAGGAGAAAGGGAGGAATGCTATTCCTTAAGCCATATTGCTTTAGGTTTAAGACTGCATACTGGGGAATTCTGAGTTTGAACCCCAGCTCTACTGTTTGCTAGCCATGTGTCCTTGGGCAAGTCACCTATCCTCTCTGAGCTTGATTTTCCTTAACTACAAAATGTACTTATAATTTCACCAAGGATTTAGGAGATTGCAGATGTGAATAGCTCACACAGTTCCTGGCACTTACTAAGTGCATAACAAGCTATAGCTGGCCTTACCTAGCACCCACCATAGTGCCTGTCCCATGCTATGAGTGAACTGCTGAGAAGGGGTTCTTTTGCGGAGAGGAGGAGCCAGTGGGAAGGCCAAGGCTGTGTCTGGGAAGGTCTGGCTGTTTCTTCTCATAGTGGCAGCCAGATGGGTTTTCCTAATTTTTTCAGACCAGAATGGAGCTAGAAGCCTCTTTAAGAGAGGTTCCCTGCTGACTGCCCTCTCCGCTGAGGCAGTAGCATCTGCCCTCCATAAGCTTCATCAAGATCTGTGGAAGACTCAACAGACTCGGGTATGTTTCTCTGCTCCCCTTTCCTGAACTCTTTACCTCCCTCAAAGGGCATGAGGCAAAGATGCATGAAGCAGTTTGACCTGTTTTATTCCTGAGATCAAGTTGGCATGAGTTTCACCTCTATCACTTACAACCTGGCAACCACAAATGGAGCATTTGGAGTTCCTGGGCCTTGTTTTCCCTTGCATATTAGGGCAGACAGTGCCTGCTCAGAGTTGTGAGGATTAGATGAATGAGGATCTTGAATGAACCTTGTAAACCATAAAACCCTGGGTAGGGCAAGCGCCGTGGCTCAGGCCTGTAATCCCAGCACTTTGGGAGGCCAAGACAAGCAGATCACCAGACATCAGGAATTCAAAACCAGCCTGGCCAATATAGTGAAACCTCATCTCTACTAAAAATACAAAAATTAGCTGGGCATGGTGGTGGGTGACTATAATCCCAGCTACTCAGGAGGCCAAGTCAGGAGAATCACTTGAACCCAGGAGGCAGAGGTTGCAGTGACCCGAGATCGCACCACTGCACTCCAGGCTGGGCAACAAAAATAAAACTCTGTCTCAAAAAAAAAAAAAAAAAAACAAACCCTAGACAGATGTGTGGCATTGTTTTGCATCATTTTCTACTCAGCCATGAATTCATTCTTGGTACCCAGGCTTCCAAAAGAAATCCTAGAAATCAGTGACCACTATTTGAGGTTGGCATTTATAGGAACATTCTAGGCCTAAGAATGCTCTGAAATGAAGATGTCATAAATTCCACCTCACAGTGAACCTATCAGTACAAATTGAGTGCCGCCCATATGTCAGCCACTCTGAGCTGAGGATGCAAAAAGGGGAAAGACCTGACCTCTGCCTAAAGAAGGTTTTGTGACATGGTGGAGGAACAAAACTTCATTCTACTAGAAAGCAGAACTGATAGAATTAATTGGATCAGTAACAAATGCAAGTGATGTACTGTTGGAATTAGGAGGAAGGGGCAGTTCATTCTGATTTGGGAAGGGTCAGAAGAAAAGAAGATATGGCCTTTGGGCTAAGCTTTGAAGTAAGAGCGTCGGGAGGGAAGAGGTGACCCCTGGGCTATCTTTGAGCAGCTCTCTTTCAAAAGACATAGACAGGTCAGAAGGGGATTCTTGTTCCATCCAAGTGGAGCAGAGCCTGTCATCACTTCAGGGAGCTAAATGCACATGCATTCAGAGGACGTAACCTAGCTCTCTGGGAATAGATCCACAATGGTGGCCCACCACAGAGGCTGAGAATAAGGAGAGAGCTTGAGCCCTGCATTGCTTGTGGAAGATGAGGAACTCACATTTAGCCATGTCCTTCCTTTCCCAGGATGATCTGAGGGATCAGGTCCGGAAACTGGAAGAACGTCTAACTGATACTGAGGCTGAGAAGAGCCAGGTCCACACAGAGTTGCAGGATTTGCAAAGACAGCTTTCCCAGAATCAGGAAGGTGAGAAGCTCAAGATAGGTGCAGAACCCAGAAGTGGCAGGAACAGGCCTAGCAGCCACCTATTTTTTTTATTTAGTTTTTGAGATGGAATCTTACTCTGTCACCCAGGCAGGAGTGCAGTGTCACAATATTGGCTCGCTGCAACCTCCACCTTCCAAGTAGTTAGGATTACAGGTATGCACCACCACGCCTGGCTAATTTTTTTGTATTTTTAGTAAAGACAAGGTTTTGCCATGTTGACCAAGCTGCTCTTGAAGCCCTGGCCTCAAATGAACCACCTGCCTCAAGCTTCCAATGTGCTGGGATTACAGGCATGAGCCACCATGCCTAGTTGCACTCTGTTATTTACCCAGAACTGTGAGATGATATCTAGAGGCACTTCCAAAGGGGTAATGACCTCCTGGAACTATTTTTTCTGCTTTGCTTGGCTTTTGAGGCCCATCCTGGAAGAAAAGATTAGGAGGAATAGATTTGGTGAACTGAAAGAAGGAAATGGCTGGGCTTCTACTTTCTGTCTCTGCAGCAGATTTAAAAATTTTAAAAAAATTGGAGACCCAGGGCCAGGACTGTAAGAACATAAAGCTGCATCTTTTATCGTCCACATTACTTATTTTTATCATCTTCAAGTATGTCCTCCAAGTTATCCTTTGGTAGCTGAGGGATTATGAGTTTATTTGGGAGAAAGCAAGGAGAGGAGCTCTGGGGAGGACATACCCATGCACCAGCCAAGAACTGGAAAGGGTCATGGCTCCTTCAAAGGACAGGAGAGGAAGGGTCTTGAAGCTCAGGTTTTTACTTAGAAGAGTTAGCCGGGCGTGGTGGTAGATGCCTGTAATCCCAACTACTCGGGAGGCTGAGGCAGGAGAATCACTTGAACCTGGGAGGTAGAGGTTGCAGTGAGCCGAGATTGTGCCACTGCATTCCAGGCTGGGCGACAGAGCAAGACTTCATCTCAAAAAAAGAGAAGAAAAAAGAGAAGAGGACAGCTTTGGCCTATTTTGAGGCCATTTGAGGGTTCCCTGAGAGCCATGAAAATAGAGGGGGATTCCAGCGCCTGCTGCAGAAATCAGGGGCAGCCAGCAGAGCCACCCATGTCTCTAGGAGCTCCTGCACAATTATAGGATTGGGGGCTAGAAGGGACCTCCAGTGTCATCTGTCTCAACCCTGTCTGGAATTGAGGGCTGAGGCTCTTGGTGATGAGGATGAAGACGTATTAAGATGATTACCAGGCAGTGCTGGGGCTGGCAGCAGCAGGGAGTGCTGCCGGGCAAATAAAAGCAGCTGGCGGATGGTTGATGTCTCTAGGACACTGGATGTAATTCTCTCCTTCTTGGCCACCTTCCCCTTTGAATCTGTTCCCCATCCTCCATCTGCCTCTATATCCCTCTTTTCCCCCACCCCAACCATGGGTCTTACTCAACTACCTCTCCTCTCCTTAAAGAGAAATCCAAGTGGGAAGGAAAGCAGAACTCCCTAGAATCTGAACTGATGGAACTGCATGAAACTATGGCATCCTTACAGAGTCGCCTGCGGAGAGCAGAGCTACAAAGACTGGAGGCCCAGGTAAAGTGGCCCTGGTTTTGGTGGGGTGTGGGGAATGCCTCAGGAGTAGTCCGTTGGACCCACCTTGCCCTGTGGTCATGTGTCCCACTTCCTTCAGCAAGTCCGTCAGCTCCTCTGGCTGTCTCCATGTCCCCAGGGGACATCATTAAGATCCCAGTGAATCCTCTTTCAATTGCTTTTTCTGAATTGAGGTTGATGTTTTTGCCCCTTGTCCTGAAGGACCTGGGCATAGCAGAGTCCTAGGAGGTGGCAGCGATGCTCTTTTACAGTATCAGCTTACGTGGAATATACCACCACTTTTTTGCCCAAGTCCTTGTCACTGCTATTACCACAAAATAAGAAAGAGAAGGGCCAGTGTTGGAGTGACAGTAGCAGGGAAGTGTAGTCTAAAGTGGTTTTTCATCTTGTCTTCCAGGGTGAGCGAGAGTTACTTCAGGCAGCCAAGGAGAACCTGACAGCCCAGGTGGAACACCTGCAAGCAGCTATTGCAGAAGCCAGGGCTCAGGCAAGTGCTGCTGGCGTCCTGGAAGAAGACCTGAGAATGGCTCGCTCAGCACTGAAGCTGAAAAATGAGGAGGTGGAGAGTGAGCGTGAGAGAGCCCAGGCTCTGCAAGAGCAGAGTGAGCTGAAGCTGGCCCAAGGAAAAGCTCTGCAAGAGAATTTGGCTCTCCTGACCCAGACCCTAGCTGAAAGAGAAGGGGAGGTAGAAACTCTGCGGGGACAAATCCACGAACTGGAGAAGCAACGGGAAATGCAGAAGGCTGCTTTGGAATTGCTGTCTCTGGACCTGAAGAAGAGGAACCAAGAGGTAGATCTGCAGCAAGAACAGATTCAGGAGCTGGAGAAGTGTAGGTCTGTTTTAGAGCATCTGCCCATGGCCGTCCAGGAGCGAGAGCAGAAGCTGACTGTGCAGAGGGAGCAGATCAGAGAGCTTGAGAAGGATCGGGAGACTCAGAGAAATGTCTTAGAGCATCAGCTTCTAGAACTTGAGAAGAAGGACGAAATGATTGAATCCCAGAGAGGACAGGTTCAGGATCTGAAAAAGCAGTTGGTTACTCTGGAATGCCTGGCCCTGGAACTGGAGGAAAACCATCACAAGATGGAGTGCCAACAAAAACTGATTGAGGAGCTGGAGGGCCAGAGGGAAACGCAGAGAGTGGCTTTGACCCACCTTACGCTGGACCTGGAAGAAAGGAGCCAGGAGCTGCAGGTACAAAGCAGCCAGATCCATGACCTGGAGAGCCACAGCACCCTTCTGGCAAGAGAGTTGCAGGAGAGGGACCAAGAGGTAAAGTCTCAGCAAGAACAGATCGAGGAGCTGCAGAGACAGAAAAAGCATCTGACTCAGGATCTCGAGAGGAGAGACCAGGAGCTGATGCTGCAGAAGGAGAGAATTCAGGTTCTCGAGGATCAAAGGACACGGCAGACCAAGATCCTGGAGGAGGACCTGGAACAGATCAAGCTGTCCTTGAGAGAGCGAGGCCGAGAGCTGGCCTCTCAGAGGCAGGTGATGCAGGAACGGGCAGAGGAAGGGAAGGGCCCGAGTAAAGCACAGCGTGGGAGCCTAGAGCACATGAAGCTAATCCTGCGTGATAAGGAGAAGGAAGTAGAGTGCCAGCAGGAGCATATCCATGAACTTCAGGAGCTCAAGGACCAGCTAGAGCAGCAGCTCCAGGGCCTGCACAGGAAGGTGGGTGAGACCAGCCTCCTCCTGTCCCAGCGAGAGCAGGAGATAGTGGTCCTGCAGCAGCACCTGCAGGAAGCCAGAGAACAAGGGGAGCTGAAGGAGCAGTCACTTCAGAGTCAACTGGATGAGGCCCAGAGAGCTGTAGCCCAGAGGGACCAGGAACTGGAGGCTCTGCAGCAAGAACAGCAGCAGGCCCAGGGGCAGGAGGAGAGTGTGAAGGAAAAGGCAGACGCCCTTCAGGGAGCTCTGGAGCAGGCTCAGATGACACTGAAGGAGCGTCAGGAAGAGCTTCTGGACTACAAGGAACAGGCACAAAGGCTTGAGGAAGACCTGGCAGTGGAGGGACGGCGGGTCCAGGCCCTGGAGGAGGTGCTGGGAGACCTAAGGGCTGAGTCTCGGGAGCAGGAGAAAGCTCTGTTGGCTCTCCAGCAGCAGTGTGCTGAGCAGGCACAGGAGCATGAGGTGGAGATCAGGGCCCTACAGGACAACTGGCTACAGGCCCAGGCAGTGATCAAGGAACGGGACCAGGAGCTGGAGGCTCTGCGGGCAGAAAGTCAGTCCTCCCGGCATCAGGAGGAGGCTGCCCGGGGTCGGGCTGAGGCTCTGCAGGAGGCTCTTGTCAAGGCTCATGCTGCCCTGCAGGGGAAAGAGCAGCATCTGCTTGAACAGGCAGAACTGAGCCGCAGTCTGGAGGCCAGCACTGCCACCCTGCAAGCTGCCCTGGACACCTGCCAGGCACATGCTCGGCAGCTGGAGGAGGCCTTGAGGACACGAGAAGGTGAGATCCAGGACCAGGATCTCCGATACCAGGAGGACGTGCAGCAGCTGCAGCAGGCACTTGCCCAGAGGGATGAAGAGTTAAGACATCAGCAGGAACAGGGGCAGCTGCTGGAGAAGTCTCTGGCCCAGAGGGTCCAAGAGAATATGATTCAAGAGAAGCAGAATCTGGGGCAGGAGAGAGAAGAGGAGGAGATAAGGGGCCTTCGTCAGAGTCTAAGGGAGCTACAGCTGACTCTAGTGCAAAAGGAACAGGAGATCCTGGAGCTGAGGGAGGCCCAGCAAAGGAACAACCTGGAAGCCTTACCCTACAGCCACAAAGCCTCCCTAGTGGAGGAACAACCTTCAAAATGTTATTCTTTAGAGCCCAGGCTGCAGCGGGAGCTGGAGCGGCTACAGGCAGCCCTGAGACAGACAGAAGCCAGGGAGATTGAGTGGAGGGAGAAGGCCCAGGACTTGGCACTGTCCCTAGTGCAGAGCAAGGCCAGCGTCAGCAGTCTGCAGGAGGTAGCCATGTTCCTACAAGCCTCTGTCCTGGAGCGAGATTCAGAACAGCAGAGGCTGCAGGTGAGTCACTCCAGGGGCAGTAAAGGCCAAGGGACACAGTCTGGTCTGGCTGAGCTCAGGGGCTGCCCACCACTCTGGGCCTTGTGGTACCTCAGGGTTATGAGAAAGCTGAGATCATGAGCACCTCAACACAGTGGGATTCAGGCTACTGTTCTAGTCTGGGGAGATACAAAGAGGATAAGAGTCCACAGTCCCGTGGGGAAACCATGATAATGCAGTGTGGTTGGTGCCTAATAGGGGAAGTTTAGGATGCCCCAGGCATGCTGAAGGGATGCTCACCCTTTTCTGGGAGTGGATCCCAACAGGCTTTCTGGTAAAAGCAGTGTTTAAGATTAGACCTGGGCCAGGCGCAGTGGCTCACACCTGTAATCTCAGCACTTTGGGAGGCCAAGACAGGCAAATCACCTGAGGTCAGGAGTTCAAGACCAGCCTGGCCAGCATGGTGAAACCCCATCTCTACTAAAAATACAAAAATTAGCCAGGCATGCTGGCATGTGCCTGTAATCCCAGCTACTTGGGAGGCTGAGGCAGGAGAATTGCTTGAACCCACGAGGTGGAGGTTGCAGTGAGTTGAGATCATGCCACTGCAGTCCAGCCTGGGGGACAGAACAAAACTCCGTCTCAAAAAAAAAAAAAAGATTAGACCTGAAGGGACCAGTAAAGAACTAGCCAGGCACAGGTTGTGGAGGAGCATTCAGGGGAAAAGGAAAAGAGAGCGAGAACAAGTGTACTATCTGTGTAGACAGTTCAGATTGCATGAGACAGAGGGAAGGGTTTGGTAAGAGATGAGAAGACAGTAGGGGCCACATGCATCAGGGCTTACAGTCATGCCAAGGACCTGTGTAACTGGTAGGAAGCAGGTGAAGCGTTTGCATCAGAGGAGTGATGTGATCAGACATACAGCTCAGCAAGATCACCCGGACTGCCATGTGGAGCAACAGCAGGCCTGGGGAGACCCACTGGGAGGCTGTACTGGAAGTCCAGGGGAGAGGTCGTACCCTAAGATGGAAAGTGTGAATGGAGATGTGGGTGGGTCTGAGAGGTAGGACTTCCGGCAGTTGATTGGCTAAGAGGCGGAAGTAATAAAGAGAGGGCAGAAAGAAGTCAAAGATGACACTCAGGTCTCTGCTCACCCAGATGACGAGAAGCAGGTGTGAGAAGGAGGAATGAAATGATGAGGTCAGTTTGGAAGTGGAGGGAGAAACCTGTGGGACAGGCAGGGGGAGGTGTCCAGTGGGCAGGTCAGTAAAGTGATCTGAAGTTTTGAGTTGAAGCCAGAGACACTTTGGAGTCATCAACGGTTAAAACAAATGGGTTTCTTGTAGGTAGTGTGTTGAGTGAGAGAGGAAGTGAGCTTAGGAGAGGACTTCAGGTTGTAATATTTAACCTCAAGGTCAAGCACCATGTCTTAGTCACCTTTGTACCCCCTGCACTGAGCACAAGACCTGCAGCAAGCAGGCCAACAGGAAAGCCAGACTGACTTGACAGCGAGAGGCATCATCTCTTTTGCCAAGAGAAGCCCAGTCCAGTTTTCCAGGGAAATCGATTCTACATCCTGGTCCCTTGACTGAGCCCCAGGGAACCCCAGACACACAGTCCCCCAGAGAGTTCCTTCTGGGAACTCAAAAAGCTCTGCTCTTGGTAAAGGGCAATATGAGAAGGAGGTCAGTCTGTGAACTGTGGAGTCCAGTTCTAGGGTTTAAAATGCAGTAGCGTTGTGTGACCCTGGGTGAATGCCTTTACTCTGACCTTCAATTTCTCATTGGTAAAATAGGCAATGGTGGTATGAAATGGGATGATACGTATGAATTGCTTAGGAAGAAAGCACTTAGTAAGTGGAACTCCTTTCCTATGTTCAGGTGCATTCTTACAGACACAGCAAAAGTAAGGTATGTAATTGGGCAGGAGGGCACTTGCCACCCATACTCTTGGGTTACTAAGCAGTATTCACTCAATAACAACCCAGTCAGAGTCACTTCACCCACTGTCCCCTCCATACACACAGGAATATCTGTCAGATGCAGCCCTCCATTGTCGTGGGACCATTTCATTTTAAGTGTTTTACATGCTAGGCACTATAACTCTCACTCTCTTTTACAACTACCCTGAAAAATAGGAACTGTTACTATCCTCGTTTTATAGTTGAGGAATGGCAGTTCAGAGAGGTTAAGTCCTCTTTGGATTGGTTGAAAGTCATGGCCAGGTGCAGTGGTTCACGCCTATAATCCCAGCACTCTGGGAGGCTGAAGCAGGCAGATCACTTGAGCCCAGGAATTTGAGACCAGCCTGGGCAACATAGCAAAGCCCCATCCTTTCTAAAAATACGGAAATTAGCCAGGTGCGTGGTATGTACCTGTAATCCCAGCTACTCAGGAGGCTGAGGCAGAGAACCGCTTGAACCTGGGAGGTGGAAGTTGCAGTGAGCCAAGATGACACCAGTGTACCCCAGCCTGGGTAACAGAGTAAGACTCCATCTCAAGAAAATCCTCATAAATGGCTGGAATGAGATCTGAGCCATCTGCCTCTAGAGCCCAGACTATATCACCAAGCTCTGCCTCTCTCCTAGGCAACCTGCACGCATCCACTTTTTTCTCTTGTTTGTCTCTCTTCTTGACCGATAACATTTATGAACCACAGGGCGCCTAGAAATTATCTAGCATGAGGCTTCCCCACTTACCCAAAGGGACTTAACCCAAGGGCTTGATCTGCTTCATGGTGCACATAGTCATTTTGTAAATGAGGAAATTGGGGTTTGGGGAGCACTTATACTTCAACCAGAGTCATATAGCCACTGAGTGGTGACAAGGCACCCAGCCCTGTGTGACTCCAGAGCCCATGCTCTTCCCACAGCACATCAGTGCTCTGAGTCATTGCTCAGCCTTCTAGGAGATGCAAAGTGAACTGGAGGCTCTGGTCCTAGCTCCCTTGCTAGCTCACCACATATCCTTGAGTAGAGTCAAGGCCCCTCTGCTCCTTTGTTTTACCCATCTGTGAATTGAAGGTTCTGTACTGGAATGACTCAGAGCCTCTAGGAAAAAATAAGACAAAAGCCTGAGGAGAACATTGAACCGCTGTTTCTGTGGAGGGTGGGTGGGTCTGGATATGAGGTTGGCAAAGGGTGATTTTGCTCCATGCCTTGGTACCCTAGGACGAGCTGGAGCTCACCAGACAGGCTCTGGAGAAGGAGCGGCTACACAGCCCAGGTGCAACTAGCAGAGCAGAACAGGAGTCCGGAGGGGAGCAGGGCATGCAGCTGGGAGAGGTGAGCTGGGGGCTTGGGGGAACAGATGGCCCAGCAGTTAGCTCCTGTCCCGGGGTTTGTCCCTTTCCCTTGAGACCTGGGTTCCTGAAGCTTAGACCTGCCAGATTGGTCTGTATGCCTTCTGTCTGTTCCCTACTTGTCTTAGGGGCTGCCCAGGTGAGATTCACAGGTCTTTCCCACAGGTCTCAGGAGTAGAGGCTGAGCCTAGTCCTGCTGGAATAGAGGAGAAGCAGCCATGGAAACAAAGGCTTGAACACCTGCGGCAAGTGGTGGCACGGCTGGAGATTGACAGGAGCAGGCTACAGCACCACAATGTCCAGCTGCGGAGCGCCTTGGAGCAGGTGACCCCTCTTCTGGTCTAGTGGACATGAATCTCCACTTCTCATGCAGCCTCTAGAGCATAAGCTCTGTAAACTACAGCCTGTGGGCCAAATCCAGCCTGCTGCCCATTTCTGAAAATCGAGCTTTATTGGAATACAGCCATGCATTGTCTGTGGCTGCGTCGCTGCTATGGCCCACAAAGCCTAAGTACTTACTACAGGAAAAGTTTGCTGGCCTTTGCTCCAGAGGCCTGAGAGGCTGGCCCTGCCTCTTCTGTCCCAGGAGCACTTCTTTGCACTCAGGGCTGCCCTAGCTGTGCCCTCCTCAGCCAGGGGTTCTCTTCCCATGGTTACTGTCCCCTCATATACCCTCACAGGCACTGGCCACCTCTGAAGAAAGGCAGCTCTGCTTCAGTCACAGAGCCAAGCCAAGCCCTGATTTCTTATTTGCACCTTGGCAGGTGGAACGAGAACGGAAGAAGCTGAAGAAGGAGGCCATGCGTGCGGCCCAGGCAGGGTCCATGGAGATCAGCAAGGCCACGGCTTCTCCACCCACACAGCAGGTTTACCCATTTTCCTCTACTGCAGCAATAGAGAGCCCAACCCCAGCCACCAGAAACAGCCCTCCTCATTGCATATCACAGGCTGACAGCACTTCACTAATCCAGAGAGCCCGTCCTGACTGCCCCATGAGAAGGAGGCCCAACATTGGGGTGGCATCAGGGCTGGTGACCCTGCTTTCTAAGGGACTTAGATCTGTACACTCCCAGACCAGTGCCACAGGCTGGCCCAGGAGCGGGACTTATGGGGCTCTGCTCAGGATCCCTGGTGTATGGGGGTTGTATGGCGCTTGTCAGCTCCTGGTAAGCCTAGGAACTTGATCACAGCTTGATATCTTAGACCTTTCTACAGTGTTGAGTTTACAGGCTTAGGGGTCCATGGTCTTCCCTGGAGCCAGTGTCCCTTTTTTGGGTAAAGGACTTGAGGAAGACTCCCCATACCAGCACTCTTTTAGGTGAGGTATCCCCACCTTGCAGCCTGGCAGGGAGGCACTGTTTATAGGTGGCTGAGCACTAGCTCTCTATCTCCTGTCCTTTAATGAAAGTTCTCAAGTGCAGGCACCGTGTCTTCCTCTCTGCATCCTTAGCTCACACCCCAGGGCTACCACAAAGCAGATACATGGTGTACTTCTGTTAAATGAAAACATGCCTCAAAGAAGCAAATGCGATCCAGGCCTTTTGGATGATTTGTGTCAGGTCTCCATGGGCATTGCCCCTTGTGCTGGTGTGGGGCCTCTCCTTGTCCCAGGGCCTGCTGCCCCGTAGAGGTCCAGTCTGAGTTCAGATGCTTCTGGCCCATAGCCTTTGCCCAGACCCCCAGGATTGTGAAGAGGTTCTACAAGGAAACTCGCAGAAATCCCAGAGTGAGAGGGCCTATTCCAACAAAAGTGCTGTTTGTCTTCTTTAGGATGGAAGAAGAGGACAGAAGAACTCAGATGCCAAGTATGTGGCCGAACTGCAGAAAGAGGTATGTTCTGGGTTTTCTAAGCCCATATTCCCTCCCTTGTACTCAGGCCCTTTGTACGCCTCCAGCAGGGAGAGGGGAAGTTCCTGCCTTCAGACAACCTCAGTCTCCACGGCAGGCAAGAAGAGTCCCAGTCCCAACCCTGTCTCTCATATGCCTAAGGGTGGGAGTGGGGAAGAAAGCCTGATCTTCCAGATCCATACTTAGCAAGGGAAAGGAGAAGGAAGAGGGCTGAGGAGCAGGCAGAAGATTCTAGGAGGACAGGCGGGAGCAAGTGGAGCCATCCTGGCCTCCCTGCCCTCAGAGGTGCCCTCGCAGGCAAGACTGTTGCCAGAGCCCCACGCAGAGGAGCCGGGCAGCAGCACAGGCTCCAGGCCACACAGCTCAGCTTGAGCTGCCAATTGCAGAGAAGTGACTTGAAAAGCATTCCTGCCTCTTAGGCCTCACTTAAAAGTCCACTCTCCCTTTCAAGGCCCAGGAGTCATAAGAAGTGTTACCTTTTTATTTCTGAGCCTATTTCAGAAATCAGTAGTCGCTACTGGCAGGACCTGACTCTGTAGCTAGACCTAAACTATTACTTTGAATTCTATTAAACTCAGAATGCTTTTCTATTCTATTAAAAAGTCAGAGCTGAGGCACGGTAGCTCACACCTGAAATCCCAGCACTTTGGGAGGCCAAGGCGGGCGGTTCACCTGAGATCAGGAGTTTGAGACCAGCCTAGCCAACATGGTGAAACCCTGTCTCTACTGAAAATACAAAATTTAGCCAGGTGTGGTGGTTCACACCTGTAATCCTAGCTACTCAGGAGGCTGACACACAAGAATCGCTTGAACCTGGGGACAGAGGTTGCAGTGAGCCAAGATTGCACCACTGCACTCTAGCCTGGGTGACAGAGCAAGACTCCATCTCAAAAAAAAAAAAAAGAAAAGAAAGAAAAAAGTCAGTTAGTGGTTATACATGGGTATATATTGTTATCAGCCTTATCAAAATGTACATGTAAAATCTGGGCATTTTTCACCACATGTAAATTATCTTTCAATGAAGTTGATGAATAGCTTTGTTATTGTCAAACTCCCTATTTGAGTCACATGGATTGAGAATTACTGGATTCTATCATTCCTAAGGGCCCTTCCCCTAAACTCTCTAAAGCCTGTTTCTGAGATCCGTGTATGTGGTAGAGTTAATTCAGATGCTCAGACAACAAACGTCACAGGAACAGAGCAGGAAGAGCTGTAACAACTTGAGGGACCTCAGCTGCTCTCCCTCTTGGTTTTCCTGCCCACCAGGTGGCCCTGCTGCGAGCTCGGCTGACTCTGGAGCGGAAGCAGAAGCAGGAATACATCGCCCGCTCAGTACAGACCAGCCGTGAGCTAGCAGGCCTGCACCACAGCCTCTCACACTCACTTCTCGCCGTGGCCCAGGCCCCTGAGGCCACTGTCCTGGAGGCAGAGACCCGCAGGCTGGATGAGTCCCTGACTCAAAGTCTTACATCCCCAGGGCCAGTCCTGCTACACCCCAGCCCCAGCACTACCCAAGCCACCTCCAGGTAGCAGCCGCAGCCAGGACCACACAGACAAAAGACTGTACCGTGGTTACAGCCCCTCTGCACACCTACAGGTTTGCCAAAGGAAAAGCTGGCTCTGTTAGGCACCTAGGAGCCCCAGGTCAGCTGGTGTTCCCAGAAAGAAGGAAACCTGCAACACTGTGAGGGTCCCACCTCACCTGGGAATGAGGCAAATTGCATTTGCTTGCTACGTACAGAATCACCCAGAGGAGTGCCTTGCCCTAGCTGAGGGACACCTACTGCCTCTCGTCTAGAATTTATTTTCCTAGCACTTCACCACCTCCTTCAACTTCCCCCTCAGTAATAAACCCTGGGGTCTTTGCATTCATTTTCTGCTGCTGTCCCCACTTGTGCAGCTGGGCGTCAGCAGCACGTCAAGGGAGTTGATGAGGGAAGACCTTGCCAGAGATTCCTGTCGAGGTAGTATGTGTTTATTGTACACCATTCTCTGTTATAGGGGAGAGTTTCAGAAAACACACAAGACAAAGCCCCTGCCCACAGAGAGCCCACAGTCCAGTTGGTGAGAACAGACTAATACACATTTATGAGTCAGAGGCAATTCTTGTACTGACTAGAACTGTAGAAATTCCAGGGGCTGAAGAAGGGAGGCAGGAACTGGCCCTTGAAGGATGGAGTGGAGTCAGGGGTGTTGCCAAGCACACAGTGAGAAGACTGGTATGTCTGTGGCAGGTGGTTGGGGCTGAGCTTGGGTGGGTTGAGAGGGGAGATTATGGAGGGTTAAAAGAAGTTCTAGGGCCTCAAAAACAGCGTTGACCTTCAGCTAAAGTCAGAATCTCTGAGTTCGGAAGCTCCACATGGCCTCATTCCTCTTCTATTCTGGGTAGATGTCCTTGAGGTATCCCATCCTGGGCACACCGGCTGGAACTGACCTGGTCCCCTGTAGTCCAACCATGTATCAAGGCAATCAGGAGGTTGGACCATGGTGGAATTCCTCACTCATGAACTGGTCCTAGTGGAGGCTGCACGGAACTCGGCTCACAGGCCTAAGACCTATTGCTGGCACCCTCCTTAAAGCCTAAAGATTGTTTTATTTTTTAGAGACAGGGTTTTGTGCTGTCTTCCAAGCTGGAGTGCAGTGGCACAATCACATCTCACTACAGCCTGAAACTCCTGGGCTCAAATGATCCTCCCACCTCAGCCTCTCAGAGCACTGGGATTATAGGTGTGAGCCACCATGCCCAACCAGAACAATTTTCTTTAAAGCAGCAGCCCATTACCTTCCTCTGGCACTCCCACCATAATCTGGAATTCCTCTTTACTAAGCCTGGGGATGGAACTGAGACCTAGCTAAGAATGTTGGGGGTATGAGAGCAATACCCATTCAACCAGACCTGATTAGGGGCTCAGCCCCATTAAGTCTCGTTACACCACACAAAGTGGAAATGGTGTTTACAGCGGCTAGAGCTTTGTTCCAGAAACCCACACGTGCAGCTCAGCAACAGATGCATAGTGAAAACTTCCAAAACCCTAGAAATGGATCTGGGGACCCAGAAATGCTATCCTGGTTTCTATTTCCAGTCAGATACCCTGTAGCTTAAAATCCTTACCTGGCCTCTAGGCCACATCTATACTCGGAGTTGTTGAGGACAAACAAGACTTCTCTTGGTTGTTCACTTGTTAGGTCCTCCAGCCCTGGTTCTCAGGCTCGGACTGACAGTGGGGCCCAGTTTTTTACCCTGGAGTTTCTTCTCAGCATCATTTTCTGTAGGTCACAAGCCAGGACCTCAGGCCCAACATACCTTCTGAGCATCAGAGAGGTTCCAGCAAATGAAAGACATCTTAGAGGCTGCCAAGCAGGGTCTTTATTCAGGACTAGACTAACCTGTATTTGCTCTTCTTTCCATCCAACCCTCAGGAGCCCCCCAACTCCATTACAGACCTCAGCCTAGGGTTTCCCCTCCCAACCAGATATTCAGAGCAGGGTTGGCCTTCAAGTGTAGACTGTGCTCTTGCCCTTACACTCGTGCTTCTGGACGATCTTTCACTCTGGCTTTTTTTTTTTTTTTTTTTTTTT